AACATATAAGTTTTAAGTAAAATGATAAATAAAAAATCGAGGTTTAATTGTCTTCCATGTGATAGACTTGGTAAAAGATATCTATAGTTGAACTAATTGAAACATACACTTGAAATGGAAACAACCAATTGAAAGACAACTAAAATTTTGAATTTGAGAATTAATTAAGTCACTATCATACCATGATCATTTGAGAAAGTATACACTGAACAATCAAGTATAGAACAAATGAAATCTTAGTGCTTGTTGTATAATCTCTCTAATAAAACTTACAAAAGGAGGTAATGCACTTGCAACGAATATAAGAGCGACAAATTTTTTCCTCTTGCTCAATGAGTTGAACGTTTATCACAAATAGAAATCATAAAAATTACATATTCTTTTTGAGAGTGTTAATTAAAGAATGATATAGTAAATTGACTTTTTTTTAAAAAGGATGGTACACCTTTGTTTGCATCATGGGATGATTATAAGCTTTTCACAACATCTTCCTCACTTCAGTACTAATTCGAGTTTGTTTCAATTGCAATATATATGAATTTTCTTTTAACAAAAGTTACAAGACTTCATCGTTTTCTTGTCAGACTTTTTATAAATTCTTTATAGTCTGTAGGACTATTCTCCATTTGGTCATGTCTCACATTAGCAACTGTTATTATTGCTTTGGAGGGTTATTATTTGAATGTTCAGCTGTAACCCTGCATAAAAATAATAGTTGTATCATTAGTAAGTTGCAGTAGCATCATACATGCAAGACTGCAATATAGATATGCTTTATATCCATCTCGAAATATCAAGCAGAAAACCAAGAGATCTTCTATACATCAATATTGAGTGCAGAACATTCAATTCCAAAATTAATAAGATAGTGAAAAATTAGCAGGAAGGAGGTCTCAATCAGCATATCCAATTTAGGAAAAATCTTATCAGAATATTAAAGGTGTAGCTTTTGTACTTGAATAAACTTATTAAGTACTGTACAAATTGAATAAAAAAATTAAAGCAAGCAAAGGAATCATGAAGCTAAAAGATATCATACTCGGGTTTTTTTCCCTTGAAATCCTCTAAACTTTTAAGTTCAACTCATTTTTAACATGGAACTAATATAAGTCTTATATATAAAATGGAGTTACTAATAATTTTTCTCACTCGCTATGAACAGAGCACAAGTTCGACAGAGGTCTAAAAGTATGCTAAGTAAACTAACATAAAACCTATAAGATGTATGATTAGAGAGAAAGCTTCCATGCCATTAAATAGATGACTAAATGTAGACATATTAACAATGTCACTACTACTGCCAAAATAAACTCGAAACACTTTGAACAAAGTGAGGAAACAAACATAGATTAGAACAAAATCATATCCAGAGGAAATCCAAAAGAGATAAATAAATAAATAAAAATGGTTGACTATTTAATGATGGTGACATAGCTTTAGAAATAGATTGAAAAATATATTTTGCTACGTATCTACAAAGGGTTCTATACTGCTTCTGCAGATCATAAGAAACCAATTCCTTCTCCCACTCTAAGTATCTGATCTATTATCTTTGAAGCCCGATTTGGATCCTTTCTCACCCACCCCTCTCCCCTCCCCGCCACTTTGTCTCTTTCTTTCAATTTTTTCTTTATTCATCCAACTTCTCTATAATTAGTCACTACTTGAATTTTTGCCTTAAGAAAGAAAGGGAAAGAAGACTATAATTCTTAACTGGTGGTGCTTTTAATCTTTTCAACAATTATATATAGTAATCTGATTATTTAAGTTTTTCTTTTTCAGTCTGTCTCTTGCAATAACACTGTCGAGAAAATATTGGAAAGCCAAATGGGAAGGAAGAAGAAGATATAAAAGTTTCACCTGAATCTATATGGTTGGACTCATACTGTGCCAAAAGCTAATTCCACTTTCAAGATAAACACTGTGAAATCAGATAGAACGGGAAAAGGCAATGCTCAAAGTTTTTCATCGGAGTCCACATGCTTGGACTCTTTACTCTACCAATACCTGATATAAAATGTAAACAAAAATATTAATACAGAGACACATGAAATAAACACCAATCAAATATGAAAAAGTTGTACCAATCTGAATAGCAAAATAATGATCGTGTCAAATTCTAATATGCATAAACCACATTCCTATAAAGTAACACAACTTGAACTATAAATATAAAGAATAAATAATCAAAGAGAAAAAGCAAATATTAGAGTGACACCAGACCAAAGAAAGTTCGGAAAATGCAGAATCATACCAAAGATGGAAGCTAGAATATTGTTCTTTTTCAAAACATAAACTCGTAATTAGAATACTTAAAAAGCAAGAAACTCTGTAAAGATATCTTAGGAAAGATCCATTTACAAATATATAATGATTGACAGGTATACATATTTTAATGCTAACTAAGAAATACAAGAAGTAACAAAAAATATATACCAACCAATAGAGAAAACTAAAAGCTATTACCAAGTTCCCTTTACCAGACTCCCATGCCCCTTTGATCATGTTGGGAAGTGATGAAAAACTGAAACTTCTAAAATCCTTATATATTACAACCAAAACCTCAAAAGTCAAGCAATAGACTTGAACTACAAAAGAACACATTAAAAACTAATCAAAACAATGGGAAATAAAAACGAATAAATACGGAAGTAATTATGTTATGAATGAGTTTAAGGAAAGGAAAAAATGTACGTATATTACTTATTTAGATTGGACACAACTATTTAGAGAAGTCATATCAAATTAATTTTTCTTCTTTTAAATAATAAATTAATACATCCGAAAATAGAATAAAGACAAATATTTGAGAATCAAATAAATAGAGATCCTGGCTTAGAAGAGGTGTCACGTCACTTCTCTCTCGAGAGAGAGATGGGAAAGACTTCAAAAGTTGGAAAATAAGCACATAATATATTTTCGTTTGAAGAGAACATAAATTTGTATATACAACCAACATATAAACCGTAAGAAAACGTTATCAAATTGGCGAGTAAAGTTTCAAGCTTTTCAATCATAATTGTCAAAATTTAGCCACGAAAAAAGTTAAAACACTTATTTCGGGTATCGTAATTGACTAATACGTATAATTAGCTACATGATACTCATATAATCCAAACCAAAAAAATTATATCAACTTTTATGGAATTAACCAAATGAAGGGCAAACTCAATGAAAAGAGTAGGGCACCAGTCTACCTTGTTGCTTTCGTTGTAAAACTTTGACACAAATCAATACCATTTCTCATTTACCACTAAAAGAACATGGGCAAAAGAATCAGCAAATTAATGTGTTTGTCGATTTTCCATCTAAAACCCCGTATTGATTGGATATAATTAAGTGTTAACGATTATGCAAAGAAACATATTATAAATTTATTGAGATGGTACAAACGTCGGGTGTGAATATATTTTAACAATAAAATATTTATCATTAAGATAGCTAATATTGGTCTAGAAACTTACGAAATTCGTAAGTTTATGTTAGTGTCTTAGTGAAAAGATTCGGATAGTAAGCACAATAATTAAGTAGAAATAGATCTTGATATAAAAAGTAATTTAGAGGAGAAAGGGAGAAGGAAGACATTACCAACAATTGATAAGTGGTTGATCTTTTCCTAGAATAGGACGAGTCTCTTTCACTTTGTGGTCGAATCAACAAGAAAGTGAAGCCAAGTTACCAAAACTTTGAACCTTTAGAGAGGACATATACCGGAAACACAATCCAATATCAAGAGAGCAGAAAGTAAAAGAATATCAGAGACATTTCGGGTCAAAATTTTTAGAAGAAATTAACTTTTTGTATTTGATAGATTTAAAAAACAAAAAACAAAAAAGCTACCATGCTTTTTTTCTTCTTCTTCTTCTTAATTTACCAGCTTAAATGAATTCCGATTCAGATGACGGGTGTTGCAATTCTGACAGTGGTTAGATGGATTTCCAGAGATTGGAGTCAAAAGAAAAGGGTCGTTCGAACTTAGAAGAAAGAAATCTATGAAACAAAACAGAAACAACCTTTTTTTCTTCATAGTAGAGAGAGAAGAGAGATCAGCGTTTTGAAGAAGAAAGACCTTATTAAAAATTGTAGGGTTACGACTGGCAGTGAAAAGAAGAGGAAACGTTTGGGTTTTTCTAATAAATTAACCGTGGTTTTTGTCTTAGGTAAATGAGAATAAATTAGAGAAAACTCCAAAAAATTGAGAAAAAAGACAAGGACAGTCCCTATTCATCAAGGCCTGCCACGTCACCGGATCAATGGCCCTCAATTATATATATATATATATATATATATATTTGGATCTGAACTCACACAAAAACACCATAAAATTTCAACTATTATTTTAATTTAACTCATTCCAAATCTTATATATTCCCTCTATTCTAAGGGTCATTAATTTATCTTTAATTTGTATATACAACTATTGTTAGCTAGATTTCAGGATAGAAAATGTTCTGATGATGCTATAGTATTGCAACCAGATCAAAGTTTGTTATCGATAAAATCAAACTCCAACATATTCAAATGGTTTAGGAAATTAACGACATTGAATAGAGCTCAAATTCTTTCTTGTTGAAATGAGTTGCGCGATGCAATTATCAAGTTAGAAAGCACACTGAGGTTAGCAGTTTGTATATGCAAATTGCTGTATCATTCGGTATAGGTGTTGCATATCAATCTTTTGCAAAGTCCAAATACCTAGAGCTAATTAAGTAAGAATTTTGTAATTGCAAAATGTGTGGCTAAACACAAAAAAGCTGTCTCAAGACTTAGTATAAAAAATTTTGTAAGTACAAAATGTGTGGTTAAACACAAAAAAGCTGTGTATCAAAACGTTGTATTAGGTTGTTCATGCATAAGGGTCTTAATTTTTGGATACATTCCTGTTTCATTCTTTTCTTAATAATTATAAATAGGAGCCTACGCTTCCTTCCTGGAACAACATACAATAACTCAGCTAATACTTTTCTTTTGGACAGCAGTTATTTAAAGAAGGAATTAATATGGCAGCGATGAAGTTCATTGTTTCCCTTGTTCTGCTAGCAGTTGTGCTTCAAAGCCGAGTGATTGAATGTCAGGGACAAATGACTTGCTCTGTATCACTTAATAACCTGAACGTGTGCGCGCCATTCGTGGTTCCAGGGACAACCAACCCGACCCCTAGTGCGGACTGTTGTTCTGCACTCCAGTCAGTGGACCATGAATGCCTCTGCAACACTCTCCGTATCTCTGCCCGCCTTCCAGCTCAATGCAACCTTCCTCCCCTCTCTTGTGCTGGTCAGTATCAGTAATATAAAAATACCAACAGGTCGTCCATTAAAAAGAATAGTATAAAAATTCTTTACACTTCCATGTATATAAATCATACTAAGTTCTTAGGTGAGTAATAAACATTCTTACTGCTTACTGAATTTTATTTTTTGTTGCAGCAAACTGAGTTGTATGTTGACGACGCCAACAACCACAGCTATTAGGCGAATAATGTGCAGAGTTATATGGCAATAAATTATATGCGCCCCTCGCTTTCTCTTTTGTTTGCTTTGTTCTTTAGGGAGATGTTTTGTGTCCTCTGATGTAATGTAGGTCAGACAAGAGTCCGCTGTGTGTTTTGTGAAATCAATAAGACAAAGATGTTCGCATTCTCATACTACAGACTCTTTAGTTTGATAGATGGAGCTCGTTTCTAAATTTGCGGGGTTAGGAAGGGTTATCGATCCGATCCAAGTTTCTCATAAAATCTGATATGTCTAGCTAATCACAACAAAATTATGCCTTCGCTTTCATATGTTAAACTAAACATGATATATTACATAACATATGATAGCTCTGTCATATACAATAAGGAAAAGGGTAATAAAAGGAACTTCCCATTCCCTACCGGGCCTCCCCTACTTCCCAAAGCTAGAAAAAAAAACTTTTCAACCAGAAAAAAAAAAAAAAATGAGTTGGCAACAATTATGAGAACCAAATATGACAATTAAAATGACCGCCACTTACTTCTCTTGGTAAATTTATTAGTTAAACCCTCATATTTGTTCTATACTATAGACCAATAGAAAAATTAAGAGGCATTTTCATATATACCCACTTTTGGGGCCATCCATTGAGGTTTTACCCGTATTGTACAAAATTTTGTAAAGTGTACCTGTTCGGATCTGAAGTGGTTTAATCTCTTCAATGCAACTTCAGAAATCAAATCTTAAATTCTTCTATCTTTCAAATGTAATTTCAGAAATTAGAATCTTAAATAGTTCAATCTTTTGAAAGCAACTTCAGATTTTGAATCTTAAGTTCTTAAACATAAACTTATTCTCGAATTTCAACAATTCAATACATGATCCAATATCCAAACGAGCTCAACTAATTTGAAACATAACTTTCAAATATCATAAAGAAAAAATTTCAATCATCAAAAAAATGCCTTTGAATGGTCGTAATCGTCGACAACCCAACCGACGTCCACCATAGGCTCGGCGAGCTGTCCTCCTAGATTTCCTGAAGGTAATCTAATTAGTGAGATTCTATCTCTTACTTGGGAAATTGTGGTCAAGCCCACCTTTTATTCCTCGGAATCGAGCGGGCAGCAAGAATTAGAATCAACCTATATAACATTTGTTCCCATGTAGTCGGCATTCTAGACTGCATCGCCTTAAGGCAAAAGGTAGTGAACATGCTCCACCAAGGGCATTTGAGAGAACTAATAAGCAACCGAGGAAGGGCTAACTTCACTCGAGGACAAGAACAGCATCAAGGCCCCCCAAAGCCACCTTCCCCAGCCTGCACCACCCAAATGATCATCGGTGGAGGCGACGACTCTAAAATCAACAATGTAAAGTTCACAACAACCCATAAGTTGAAACAATCAATCACCCATGAACGATATGACGACTTCGAAGAAAGTATCATCTTCGACGAGTCAGATACCCATAGTTTGACCTTTCCTCACTATGATGCTATTGTTATTACTTTGCGCATTTTAGATACCAATGTAAAACGAATTATGGTAGACGACGAAAGTGCATATTATCCAAAAAAATAACAAATTTAATAAACTTATTTTGCAACTAAGAAGAAGAAGAAGAAAGAAAGAAGATGAAGAAGAATAAACTCTAAGAACAAAGAAGAAGAAAACAACAGTAAAGAAGAAGATAAATATTCAAAACTTGGGAATCCATTAAAAAAAATTGAAAAAGTGGTTATAAATTCAATGTGTGCCGCAAAACTAGATGGCACATTAAAAAATTTCAAAAATTAAGATCAAAATAGATAGAGGGCTTTAGGGTATACAAGTTAAAACATCAACCAATTAAGGCTTGTCCAAGACCAGGTTGTGATTTGGGGCAGAGTTGCCTTCATGGTCCATGGACTTGTCACTTCTACGCAGCACGTGAACTATAAAGGAAGATGTCCAATATGTGAAGATCCTTCTAATTGTTAACTAGAAGTAATTGGAAGTTTGCTTAGCCCACTGGAATAAATAAGAGTACCATATTTCTGGTCATTTTATTATTAAAGAGATTTTTATCTACCTATATAATATTTGAAACTTTATTACCAAAAGTATTTATGTTTAGTTAATTATCCGATTTAAACAAGTTTTGTCTACAAAATATATACATTTATTTAAACTATAATCCTGTAGTAGCCTTCCTTTTTTAGACGCGGGAATTTGGGATCATGGAGGATTCATCGGAGATTTTACTGACGCAATCATCGCAATTTAATTAAGCCTGTTATTACGCCGATTTTCTCTGATTATCGTCGCACAATCAAGTTCTATTCTCTGATTTTCTCTGTCTCCTCTGGTTTCAAAACCATAAGCGAAGGTTTTGAAAAAAAATTGCAAATAATTATCTACAATTATATTGAATTCTGCGATATAATGTCAAATTTAGATACTATGTTTCAACTAAATGGTCATTGGGATAGCATTGGGAGATACAAAGATTTTAATGTTGATGGAATTGTAGTCAGCGAGGATTCAAATTATAGTCAATTGAATCCTGCAATTGCAGAGCATCTAATGATCGATACCTCCAAAAAAAATAATCGAAATCAAATAAATTGTCAATAAACGTTGTCCTCCAATGAAAATTCGGAACGATATGGGAGTTCGAGTATACATGGAAACGAAAAAGGAAAACAAAAGCTTAAGAATGTATTTGTTGTGTATAATAGTGTGTGATTTCAATTTGAAATGCAATATCTCTAATTCGAGCACAATTGCATGTTTGCTCTGTATTTTCAGTGGTGATGTTTTGTCAGTTCCATGTGTTCTACAATTATTCTACAGAATATCTACAATGATACTACCTAACAAATTGTAACGATCCGATCGGTCGTTTTGAGCTCCGGCGCGTCATTCAGCAGTTTGAGGCCATGAGCAGCTTCATCTCAGGTATATTGACTGTATGGTCAGAATTAAAATTCAGGAAGTTGGAGTCAAATCTAAATGGAAATTCTCATTTTGAATGCTTAAAATTAAAGAAATGAACTAGGATTGGAATTTTGAGTAAAAGACCTCGGAATTGGGATTCGACGGTTCCAGCAGGTTCCTATGATGATTTCGTACTTGGGCGTATGCCCGGATCGGGTTTTGGATAAACCGGAACGTTTTGGCGCCTATTGTGGAAGATAGCATTTTAGAAGAAATTGCATCAGTTTGTCTTAAAATGCATTTCAGTGTTATTGATGTCCATTTGGATTTACGAGACTGGGAGTAGCTCTGTATGGTGATTCTGGATTTGGGAGTGCGATCGGAAGTGAATTCGGAGGTCCGTAGGTCATTTTGGAGCCGTTTGGCTAAATATAGAAATTTGAAGTTTTTGAGAAAATTCGACCGGAAGTGGAAATTTTGATATCGGGGTCGGAATGCGATTCCGAAAGTTGGGGCAAGTCCGTAATGTCGAATGTGACTTGTGTGCAAAATTTGAAGTCATTCCTGAATGATTTGGTAAGGTTTGAGACACTTAGTCTCTTTTAAGGAAGCTTAAGTTGGAAAGGTTAACCGGATATTGACTTATGTGTTAGAGCGCTCAAAATGCGAATTTTATGGTTCGGATAGCTTTGTTACGTGATTTGGGACTTAGGAGTGTGTCCGGAATATTTTTGTGATGACCGGTGTAGAATTAAGCTTGAATTGGCAAAATTAGTATTTTGGCGAATTCCGGTTGATAGGTGAGATTTTGATCCGAGGGTCGGAATGGAATTTCGAGAGTTTCTGTAGCTTCGTTATGTCATTTTTGACTTTTCTGCAAAATATGAGGTCATTCGGACGTGGTTTGGTTGGGTTTTTTTATCAAAAATGGAATTTGGAAGTTCGTGAGATTCATAGGCTTGAATCCGATGATGATTTGATGTTTTGATGTTATTTTGGGTGTTTAGAAGGTTGGGACAAGTTTAAATGATATTGTGGGACATGTTGATATAATTGGTTAAGGTCCCGAGGACCTCGGGTGGATTTCGGAAGGTTAACGGAATGAAATTCGGACCAAAAAGAAAAGAAAAAGCTGCAGAAATTTCTGCTGCAATTTTCTGCAGAAGGTCTTTGGACTGCAATAATGGAGCGTACTTCGGAGGCATATATCTTTTGATATATAAGGAATTTTGAGATGGCTCAAAAACGAAGGTTGTAGCCCTTCATGTCTAGTTTCCAGAAAGATAAAGAAATTGTAATTTGGATATCTGTAGAGAATGTTACGGTCGATTGAATATGACTGGTGGAGCTCGTTCTCCAGAATTTTCT